GGAGAATCACGCCTTCTTGATGATGGAGAAATGCGCCAAAGAGGCTCAGGACAAAGTGGTCATGCTGCGGAAGCAAGTGGGAGGCTTGGAGGAACAGGCCAAGGTTCAAGAGGGAGTCGTCGCTTGCTTAGAGGATACAATTGCCGGCCTTCGGGCCGAGAATGCGACCCTTGCTGCGGAGAAGGCGAAAGCCGATGGCGACCTTCAGCTCCTTCAGCAATTCTGCGAATCCGAATGCTGGCGACTTCGCCTAGATCGGCAGGCTGTGGTTGAGCGCACGAGGAAGAAGGCCCAAGATCGCCTAGATCGGGTGAAGGCGTTCCTGGCCGAGCAAGAGGTCACTGTTCGTCCGAAGGAAGACCTGCTGAACCAGGCTCTTGGGGTCGAGGCTACGATTGACAGGCTTGTCAAAGAGTGCCATGCTCAGATCCCCGAGGAGGAAATCGCCAAGATCAAGGCGAATAAAGTCGAGTGCAAGGAGGTTGCAGACGCGCTTGACTATCTCGTCCTCGACACTGCCGACCTGAACATGTCTCCGGACCAGCTCGGTTACGGTCTTCTTCGGCCGGAGGATCCCGCTCCCAGATCTATCCGAGAGCCACATGGATCGAATGCGGCAGCCTTCCAGGCCGACCTTCGAGCTACTGACACCAATGATGACCCTCCTTCAGACCCAGGCAATCCTGAAGATGACGTTGAAGTCGTCTAATGCTTTTCTCTTTTTTTTTTTTTGTTTGACTCTTGAACTTGGATGGGCCGCCGGCCCTTTTGTAATATATTTTCTCCTTTGAATTTCACTTCTTCGGCAGCTTGCTCCTACTTCTTCCAAAAAACGGAAGTATTACTTTTTTTTTTTGAATTTCCCTTATTCGTAAAAGTGGAAATATGCTTCTTTTTTAGTTTGAAATTGGTGATTTTCCTATATAGTCTTGCCCCGACTGCCAGTTTTGCTCCAGTAAAAGGCGGGGGTGATAGGTATAAATAGGCTGCCCGGCCAATGGTTTTTCAAGATATCCTTAGATTAACTTGCGTACTCTTTTTCCTGCAACTGGTACCATGGAGAAATCTGGTTCGATTAAAAGCGATGGATCATCTCCGTCCGCCGGTGTTGATATGCCAACTTTCACTGAGAAAGAAGCTCTTGATCGTGGGATGCCCTTGTTCCCAACGTTAAGGGTTCCTAGGACTTTGATGTCGCGAGTTACTCGACAAGAGAAACTCCGGTTAGAGAAGTTCTTCCAGGCTGTGTATGATAAACATACGCAGTATTTCAAACAATTTCTCATTGTTGATGAGATTAGATCGGCCTTCGATCATAAGTTGAAACTGCTGCAATCTCACCCGAGAAACTGGATTCCCTTTGGATTCGGGCGCATAGCTCCGATGCCGACGAGCCTTTACGCCTACTGCGAGCAATGTATGCGGGATGTTGAAGATAACCGGAATGCACCGCCCATCATGGGGATCCCGCGATGCCTCGAATTTACACCGTCGGGTGTGAAGGCATTTCTCATATGCACGTTGACCAGTAAAGCCGAATCAGACGAGGCCGAGGCGTTTGTCAAGAAGGTATCGGTACCGTTCTGTTCATGCGGATGTTGGCATCCTATTTGCGGGGGATTTAAACAACTGTCTTTTGATTTTGTAGGTCGGGGGCCTCTATCAAGAACAGTGCAGGGATTTGCAATTCTTTCGTCTGAAGAAAAGAAGGATCGACCTCCGTTTGGACGAGCTGGAAGAAGAAGTCGCCAGGCTAAAATCGAAGAGAAGGAAAGCGATTCTCAGGCTCGACGAGGCGGAGCAGAAGGCTCGGGCGTTGGAGACGGATCCAACCGATTGGGAGCGAACTGGCATGCAGCTGCTTTGGCCAATGCCGAGTCGCCTTCTGCATGACACGCGTCAGGTCGCCGCAACTGGGGCGAAGGGTCCGTTGATCGTGGACTAGGCGATTTATTTTTTTGATTTTATGCCGATGTAATCTTATTCTGTCGTAACACTATTGAACCGTTGCATCCGATTTCAAATAATACACGCCGTGTTTCCCGGCGTTTTAATTTAAATGGGGATTTCATGACTCGCCGGGACGTCTCCCGGCTTAAAAGTTCACGATTGGCCATAGTTAAATACATTTGGAGATATCTCTGGGCTCCGAAGTGAGGAATTTCTTTCTTCGAGTAGAGTGTACTTTGTCGGAGGGCGAGATATATCTTTGGACTCGGCTTACCTCCTTTGGTGCCGGTTCGGATATGGGCTGCGAAAGATTGACTTCTCTGGGTCGGCTGACTGTCCCATCCGAACACGGGACTTTTAGGTGCGAAACATTAATCTCTGGGTTCGGCTTACTACTAAACTTAAGTATTGTGCGTTCGACGCGCGCCGATCACCTGGCCAGGGTGTCAGGGATGCATACATGCATTTATTTATTATATATATATATATATATATATATATTATTTTTTTTTTTTTTTTTTTTGAAAAACTGCGAAAGAGTGATTTGACGGGTCGTCACTCTGATCCATCTCGAGATTCGTGAACGCTTGGTCCCAATTGACATGGTGATGCGTGCCTCTTCAGTGTATAGTCATTCGGATGAGGGTGGTTGGGAAATAGCTGGCATTCAATGTGGTTTCTGGTTATAAATATCCCGCTTTTGGTATCCATTTTTTTTATCACTCAGCGATTCCCTCAATGGCCGGATCTTCTAGAGGGACTGCTAACGATCCCTTTCTCCGCGGAGGTCGCCGTCCGGTAGATCAACTTAATGAAGATGAGACCAAGGCGGAGGTTTACAAGGCCCGAATTTGCAGGCTAAGCATGCACATCCGGTCACTTTGGGAGCGTAAAAGTCATAAGGCCGACCTCGAACGATATCTCGGGGTTGAGGAGTTCATAGAGAAATCCGTTTTGGAGCGCGGCCTCAACGATACCCTTCGAGAACGTGCGCTGTCATCGGGTCAGTTCTACTACCTACAATCCTCTCTTGAACGTATCAAAGTCTCGCGGCTTCGAGAAGGGGACCTTGATTTGTTTGATGGGCCTCTCGTTGCGAGCCGGACGCGTAGCGAAGAACTGGAGGGATATCGCGCTCGCATTGCTCGGTTGCGCGACTATATTGTCGCGTTCAATAGTGCGGCCGAAGTCACTCATCAAAGGGTTCGTGCGGAAGGTGTTGAGAGTTTCCTTCTGCTGATGGTTTCCGAGGGGGTGCCGATCAGAAGAAAGATCCTCAAACTGGCGAGACAGGCAAGTTCCTTCTGGGCGGAAGAGGAGAAGGAGTATCCTCTTCCGCAGTTTGACGACGGCGACACCGACCTGTTTCCCGAATTCGTCGGTTTGGGGGGCTAAGTTGGTCGCTTTGGCTAGTGGCCCTTATGAGCTTCTTCTTCTCCCTTTGTTTTTTTTTTTATTGTTTTGGCTCAAGAGTGTATTTGCGCAAGAGTGTATTTGCCCAAGAGTGTATTCTGTTTGTAACAAACTTTATCAAATAAAACGGGATCGTTAACGACAATCGCGCGTTCATTATTGCTTTATATATTTTTTTTGTTAGCTGCACCATGTATCATGGTTGCCTACGTACCTCTTTCGAGGATCAAGCCAATCGTAGTTCACAATACATCAAGTGAAAGACTCGGATTCCCGAGTGAGGCATCCATCTGCCTTTGTGGTCGGATTCCCGACCTAATAGTAGAACCTTTTGAGGTGGGCCGCGTTACAGAAGTGTTGCACTCGCTGTCCTTCCATGGTCGATAGTTCATAGACGCCTGGGTGAACTCGCCGTGCGACGATATAGGGGCCTTCCCATTTTGCTCCGAGCTTTCCGGCGTTGAGTTCTTTGGTGTTTTCGAAAACTTCTCGCAGAACCAGGTCGCCCTCATTAAAACGGCGTTCCCGGACGGTCTTGTTGTAATACTTCGCTGCCGAGTTCTGGTAGTTTTGTATACGGATCATTGCTTTATCTCGTAGTTCCTCACTCCAATCGAGGTGATCGTGGAGCCGAGTGTCGTTTAACTCCGGGTCCGCGATCATCATTGTTCGCCGGAGCGTCGATATTCCGACCTCCGAAGGCGCCATTGCTTCAACACCGTAAGCTAAGGCGAACGGCGAGAATCCGGTTGCGCGTCGAGGAGTCGTGCGATGCGACCATAATACTCCGTCGAGTTCGTCGGCCCAAAGTCCCTTTTTCCGACCTAACCTTTTCTTGATGCCGTCGAGGATAGTTTTGTTGGTAGCCTCAGCCTGGCCGTTTCCTTGAGGGTATCGCGGGGTTGAGATACTGAGTTTGATGTGCCATTTTCTGAAGAACCGCTTGGTTAGGTAGGAAGTGAATTGGGATCCGTTATCTGTGACGATCTCATAGGGAATACCGTGTCGGCAGATAATGTACTTACAGATGAATCCGGTTACGTCGCCCGACTTGACCTGACTGAACGATTCCGCTTCTACCCATTTGGTGAAAAAGTCGGTGAGCACCAGCAAAAATCTTTTAGTGCGACAAGGAGGAAAGGGTCCGACGATGTCCATGGCCCATCGCATGAAGGGGTAGGGTGCTGTCACGGGAGAAAGCGCTTCGGG